CAGAATCACAGGACCTCGAGGATCATCTAATCCAGCATTTCTCAACCTATGGGTCGCAATGCAAAAGTGGGTCTCAAGAATATATGAAAGAGTTGTGAACAAAATTGAAAAAGGGATTCTTCGTTAAAGGAGAAAAACATAGGAAACCATGAGTTTCCCCTTGCAGGCTGGCAGAATTCCCAAAGCAGGCACAGAGCTGCTGCCTGGCCAGACTACCATTGACAGGAGCCACCTCCATTGCCCACAGGCAGGACCTAGCATGGGAGAGCAGAGCAGGGCAGCGAGACTCATTATTGCTGTTGCCGGGACCCTCATGCCAACTGCACCACCAGTAGCATGAGGAGTAACAGATGCTGGGGGGGACATGCTGTCCTCACATTTTCCCACTGCCAGCCTGTGGCTCTACCCTGCCACCTTTGACTGGCCACTACTGCAGCTCCCCTCAGGCCGTGGCTGTAACCTGGAAGTGAGGTGGGGTGGCGGTGAGCACAGGCAGCCTGAGAGGAGTGCCAGTGGCTGGGCGATGGCAGCAGGGTAGAGTCACAGCCCGATGCCCAAATGGCTGACAGGATGAGGGCAGTGTGGGCCCCACCCCCGTCTATTACTCTTTGCGCTGCTAGCAGTGTGGCTGGTGAGGGGGGTCTCGGCAGTGGCAGCAACAAGTTTGGCTACCTGGGGCAGGAGGCAGTGGATTGGGAGTGGCACCAGCAGGGCCTGGGGTGGGGGGGGCTATAGATTAGGAGTGAGGTGCACCGATAGGCCCAGGGGGCTGCTTTCTTCTTAAACTATTTACTGGGTCAGGACTGGCCATTGATGTTTACAAATGGGTCCTGGTACAAAAAAGCTTGAGAAAGACTGATCTAGTTCAACTCCCACAACGGCCCAATGATTAAAGCACTCAGCCAGGCAGTGGGCAACCTGGGGTTGTTTAATTCCTCAATCAGAGGGGGTTCAAATAATCTCTCCCCTCCCAGGAAAGTGATATAACTACCAGGTCATAAACTTTTTTCTTTCTTTTTTTTTTTTTTTGGGGGGGGGGGGTGCTGTCAGTCTTTAGCCCTCCTGCTGTAATTGTGCCACTGGGCAGTATAGAGTTCAAGATGGATTGGGAGAGAGAAGAAGCATGATTATGGCATTTTGGGGGGTATGGAGGGGACTCCTCATTTCCAGTCCCTATACCCAAGGCTTTTTAGGTATAGTATAACCTCATAAATCCAGATATATATATATATAAAAATAAAAAAATCAGGAATTCTTGAAAATCCAACACTTTTTAAAAATACACCACATTGGGGAGTAGCAGTGGCCAGTCCCAGAGCAGCAGAAGGGGAAGCTTGCACATGGCAGCTGCCGCTGCTATCCACCACCCCATGCCAGTGCTCTGCATGCTGCCACTACCCCCTCACCCCTGCTCCGCAACTGGCTGCTGCTCTAGTTTCAAAAATCCGGAATGTTCAACTTTCCAGCAGGCACTTGGTCCCAAGCGTGCCAGATTTATGAGGTTATACTGTATTTTATATGAAGTGATAAATACACCGTCAGGCTTCTGTATAAATAGTCAAAGTTACAAGTGTCATTTGACTAAGAATTCCACAGCTGCATTCATAAGTTTGAAATGCTGGCAAGGCACTTTCCTTTTACAATTTCAATCATTTGTTTTTAATGCAAAGGCAACATGGTCTGTCTCTGGGTGTTATATAAATGGACCTGATTCTCTTCCCATAGGAAATTCCATCAGAATTCTAGTGGTAAGAGAGAATGAGAAAAAAAAATCATAGCACATAATATTTTAATTAAGTTGTTTATCATGGGAAATTATGGAAAAAGTCAAATGCCTTATTTTACCAAATATATTATAAATAGATTTAATCATATTTAACTAATTAAAACCATTCAAAACCCCATACTCCATTACACTGGACCCATACTGTGCCAAATATGCAAGCATTCATGGAGAAGGCTTGTACAGTAGCTGGCTACCCAGGGTGACAGACTGAGAACCAGATCTGCAGCTGGTCAGACTTGGCTTAGCTCTGCTGAAGGCAGTGGAGTCAAGCCAATTTATACCAGCTGAGGATTTGGCCTCATGACTTTATATGGGAAAAAATAAGAAGTTGCAGGATGGGTTTTTTCATGGAACCATGGTAATGACAAACACAGAACACTAGCAATAAAATAGAAGGATTGATAATAAACATTTATACAATAATGAGGGGAGAAATCAGCACCAGGGCAGAATGTTAGGCTAAGTGATTCTATAATCACATTGTCACATATTTCAGCCCCTCAACCATGTGGAAGCACTGTTCAACTTGTAAACAGAAAGGCAATGTTATTTAGCTGCCCTTTCTATTTCAACAGTTGCTGCAGTATCATTAGAGCTGCAGCTGCGACATCTTCATTGCGAGTGACATGGGTTCCTTGGTTTTCAGATTTTATAAACAAATAAACCTGATTATTGACATCCTGAGCTTTTTCCCCAGGTAGGTGTAGGTCAGTGTAAACTATGTGACAGGCAAGGATTTTTGGGGGGTGATATCTGGGCCATCACAGCTACAGCATCATTCTAACACTAGCCTAAACAATGGAATTTCAATGGGAATGCTGAATGCAATACAGAAAACTAGTGGGGCTCAGTTCTGGGAGGTGCTGAGTGGCCTCCACTTCCATTGAGGTTAAGTGGGAGTTGAGGATGCTCAGTACCTTGCTCAAAAATAGTTCAAAATTAGACTGCCATAGATGAGAACAGAATTTTGCCTTTTCTGCAAGAACAATTTGTGTGATGGCAGCACCTAGCAGACAGACTCATTTTGCAAAGCACTGTACAAACCAAAGAACCCATGCAACATGAGATGCCACATGTGAGTGTAAAACACAAGAGGGGGCAAAAGGAAGAGAATACAAGAGTAACCGCAGCAGAAACATTTGGCTATATCAACCACCTCCATGCACAACTTGATGTTAATTCTACAAAGACAAGGACTTGTTTACCTCTGGTTTAGCTATAATGCATCCATCATGGTAGTATGTGAGGCTATGTCTTAATATTAGAATATTTTTGCTGGTTTAACTAATTTATGTAAAATTGAGTTAAATCTGGGTTTGCACCAACATAACTAGATTGTTTTGGAATAAGTTTAGATAAACAAGTGCAACTTTTCTAGCATATACTGGGTCATATACTGCATCTGAGTCTCTCCATCCTATAAGATTAGAAGGGAAAATACCCTACACAAAAGTAGTTGTAATTAATTTCATGAACAATGGAAAAATAAAGGTTGTTTGAGGTTCAGAACAATCCTTTTTTTAACCTTCTTTCACTATGCAGTAGAACCTTACTAATTTATATCAGTTACAGGGACACCAGTTGCAAATGACTCATCTGGGAGCTAAATAGGCACAGCCCTTACTTGGCTGTAGAATGAAGAAAGTTACCCTCCCATACCTCTTTAGCTATCTGCTTGCCTCTGCTCAGATTGTAACTCCAGCCACACAGGCTCAGGCTCAGTTACCCACCATCCCTCTGTAAGGATGGGCAGGGAAAGAATGGGAACTGGGAAGGGCATTGGCTCTGTTTTCACTCTCAAACTGAAGTAGCTACCTGAGTATATGCAGAGCTACTTCAAGAAAAGGAGTAAAGTAATCCCCTTAGCCCTGTACCACCAGAGCATAGAGAGGAATTGCAACTTTGTGTTACCTTTTGTTCATAGAGCAATGCAATCATGTCCTGTTTCTTATGCAATGTGTTAAGTGAAAACAGCCATCAATGAGTTAGTGGCTACATCCACAAGCACAATCAAGAGAAACAAAGATAATACCATATTTTCTTACATACCATGTGCCCTCCCTCCCCCAGATAATATATCCACCTTCTTGTGGGGGAAAAAAACCAAAACATATTTCCAGTCAGGGTTGAATGCAGGCTGCATGGAGCAAGAACAGAGTCTATTCATCAGTGTCTCTCACACTCTACTTGCCAACTCTGCAACTCAAGCTATAACCCCATCACAGCCACTGCCAAATTGGCTGGTCAGTCAAAAGCTGCTGTCAATTCAGCAGCAGCTGTGCTGGGGTTAAAACGTGAGCTGCAGCGTGTGCATGAAGAGAGAGAGTGACACTGAGAACTGGACTTTTTGCCCTTCCTCAATACATCCAGGAAGGCAAACTACAGTATTTGTATACCTCCATTCCAGTGCAAAAAAAAATAGCTTCCTTAAGTTAAAACACATCCCCCAATTTTGGAGAGCTAATTTTGGGGGGAAGGTGTATGTGGTATGCAAATAAATATAGTACAACACACAAAGGCCCAATCCTGCCTGCATTCCCTTTACATCAAAAACTCTTACTGAAGTCAGTCAGCACCCAGGATGTGAAAAGAAGGCAACAATAAGCTCAGTGGGCCTGATTCTGCTCTCACACTGATTTTTACACTGCTCAGGTCCATTGACTTCAGTGGAATTACTCTTGTTATGCACAAGAGAAATCACAAGCGTGGCCAGTATTTGTTGTGTTCATTTAGTTTGACAACTGCAACTTTAATTACTTATGATATACTCTGACATGTACACTGTATAGCCTATCATGTAAAATCAGAGCAGTCTAACTAATGAGACACCTCTGTTGGTCACTTTGCTCCTAATCTTTGCTGAGAAATGGAACCCATTGATTCTATGGCCTGATTCAAGTCCAACAGATGCTAACTGAGGTCTTTCCATTGACTCTGGTGAGGGTTGTACAGGGCCTTCTCTGAGTCTCATCAAGTTTGCAAAGCAGTCAAGTGAGATTTAGCAAGGCACTTCTATACTTCCATGGCTTTAGTCCTTTTTGTAATTAACAATCCATTATTTTAATGCATATTTCCATTACAAACATCACCTGTCTAATCATTAACTAGTTTGCCTGCTGTATAATAGACTACCAACATTTTGCCTAATACCATTTATTTTTTACGTCTTTTGATTAATAATATTGTCTCTAATAATTACGTATTAATTGTACTATTTATATTAACTACTAAATAATGTAATATTTCCTGACCTTGATATCATATTTACTCACATACCATATCACATGCAGCTTTTTTCCCAAATCAGCTCCCCCCTCCCCCACCCCAAAAAAATTGCATATCTTATTTTGATGATTTTACTTTTCTGAAATAGAAGCAGGGTGGCACTGAAGCAAGCGTGATTCATGGCAGCTAAGATGGCTCCTGCTTCTCTGTGGCCCGAAAAGCAGAAGGGGTAAAGTCCAGTGTTAACAGCCTGAGTGAGCACTGTGAACTGGTTCAGGGCCTGTGAGCTCCTGTATACAGTCTGCAGTATCTCTATGAGGCTTGTGGTGTAGAAACAACACTTCATTATTTACGGAACTTACATAAAGAACTATTTACACTAAATAAATAATAGTCTTGTTACTGTCTTTGCAAGGGCCTGTTGCCTACCTGTCATTGTCTTGCCACACCTGGAATTTCCTGCTGCCTCACTCAGACTGCCTCTTGGAATGCCACATTTTTGGACACTTTTTTCAGGAGGATTTACTTTGTATCACACAGTTGACTATGACTCTGGAAAAATCTTTTTTTTCTATAGTCTGCCTTCCAAAATCAAGGTGCACGTTTTATTTGTGGGAGTGTGGTATGAAAGAAAATACAGTATCTAGCTGGTATGAAACTGTAGCCATGTACTTAAGTCTTTGCTGATAGGACTATTTTTTAATTCTCTGAATTATTAATTTAGTCCATCATAAAAAGCTAAGATACTAAGAGGAAGATTCTGCTTCCATTACATCCCATGACAGCCAAAAGCTGCTGCCAATGTAGCATCAGCTGTGACAGGTTTAAAGCTTAAACTGTAAGGAGAGAGTGAGTGATGCTGAAAAGACTCTGTTCCTGCTCCATGAGGCTTGCACTTAGTCTTGACTCTAGAAAAATCTTTTTCTTCATTCTGCCTTTCCAAAACAAGGTGCATGTCTTATTTGAGGACATGTGGTATGTGGGGAAAATGCAGCAATTTGTAATGTTATCAGAAAATTTACATGCTTTGAGATGTTAACAGAATTCTCACGTGTTTTTAGTGCCTGCCACTCTGCTCTGTCACTTACCTTTTGAGCCTGGAAAATCGTTTAGTTCTTCATGCCTCAGTTTCCCATATAATGATTCTTACCTTTGTTGGAGATCAACAGACTAAATCACTACATGAATGCTAGGTATTATCACCACTCTCAGGGTTGATGTATTTGTGGTATATAATGTATTTAAAGTAGTTTAACATATAAAAACAAGTTTTTATTAAAGTCACATATGTTGTTGAATAATAAATGTGTGACATTGAGAATATAGATCAAATGTGACCTCACCATGATAATCTACGACTATCACCTGGTGTGGCCATCATCTAGTAACCTAAACCACATTCATAATCGTCTAATCGTAGTCCCTAATACAAATACATTAGTTCCTTCCTTCAAAACCTGAAGACGTGTGTGTGGTTTTAATATACCTTCATTTCAGTACCCTAATGAAGACCTTTCTGCTAGATAATAGACATGTGACCTCAGATGAAAATAAAACAATCACCTGCAGACTATAGTCTCTCCCACTTACATAGGTAAGTGAGAGCCTATAGCTTTCACTAGTATCAATGGAAACTACACATGAGGGTAGGATCCTGCAGATTGATTCATTTCTTCATTCTGCCAAAAGAAGGAAATTGAACTCCATGCAGTTTATTATGCATGAGTCTTTTTTTCATTTACATTGTCTCCTTAGCTAATTTTTTTCTCCGCATATTATTATCAATTGGTTGTCCCTTCCACTTCAGAAGTGGCTGGATTTTATTGGTAGTATATATCTGGGTATAGGTTGTACAGCACTTCAGCCTCTCTGTATAAATGCAAACTATTACTGGATACAATGCAGTGCATTTGGTTAAGTAAAGGCTTTGTAACAATACTTTAAACACTTTATATATAGCACTTTGTTCTGAGGTGCTTAAAGTACCACACAGATGCTTTATACTCTACCATACCACTCAAAAATAAATACTATTCACTCCATTTTACAGGTTGACAAAATGAGGCAAAGTGAAAGTTTAAGGAAATTACCCAGGGTCACATACAAACTCACTGGTCCAGGCAAAAGTAGAAACCAAGTCTTTTGACATAAAAGATCATACTAACCCCATAAAACTTTCATTCCTTATCTATATTTTAGGATCTACATTTTCCTTATATGCTAAGCACTTGAAAAGTCTCATTTTCTTCTGATGAATACAATACTATTTAATGAAACAAAAACATAAGTAGTATGAAATAATCTATTTAAAAGTTTTGACTCGTAAGTACATACATATTCATGGAATGACTTCATTGAGACATTAGTTTCCATGTTATTGAGAGTTTTTCTTCCTTATTGGTTTTTTATAGGTTTTAGAATGTACATAACTTTTAAGTATATTGAAAAGAATTTATATAGATGCATCCATTGTAGCAGCCATTGCTGACAGGTGTTGAACTTAGTGACATTTTGTTGGCAGTTTCCCAAAACATGTACTAATCTAATGATTTGCATTCAATATAAGTAAGATCATCACTAGCCAGCATTTGTGTGAAGTCAGAAAATATCGAAACACTAAAGCCAGTTATATTACTACAGCCCCAGCAAGAAAATTAATATATTGAGAAACTAAGTAGTAGATAATGTAAGTACCACAATACTAGATAAAAGCATATGAGAAATTAAGGCATAAAACCAAGAACTTTTTAAGATGGAGATTATCTTTTTATGTTTTTGTCTGATGCTTAGCAATAATGGGGCCAAATGTTAGGTGGGGTCTCTGGGTGCTAGCAAATAGTAATGTGAATGGGCTCATTAAAAAAATACATAGGTGTTTGGGCATTGACTGTGATGGAAGCTACAGTTAACCCTGAACTCAGTTAAGTTATACAGGGTGTGTTTATACTGATTTGTTCTCTTTTTTATTCAGCTTTCCTTATGTGAATACAACAGCCACTTTTACGTTACGGGTGCACAACCGCAAAAATTCAGCTAGGCAATAGTTTACTAAATGCTATTACAAGCTCTCTGTGAAAGAGGATGTGATTTTTTTTAGGCTAGGGGAGGTTGCTTGTTTATTTGTATAATGCCAGATGTACTATGGCCTGTAGTCACTAACAAAATACAAATAATAATGACGTTTGTACTCTGGGGAAAAGAAAAGTATTTTGAAATATAATATTTGGAAAGTCATCACTTCTTAGTATGATATTGTTATTACTTTAGAAAACAACACATTCCAGAATAGTTTATATCTAAATATATCAGCACTTGCTATTGTGACAAATATTTTTCTGCATAAAGTGACAATTGCAGAATGTGCTTCATGAGTACATTTTAATACTATACACTATGAAACTCTTCCAAAGCTACATATACTGAGGCATAGTATGGCCCTTGTAATGCTTGTATACTTGTAGAAAAAATGTATTATCTTGAAGAAGCCCTCTTACCTGTGCTGACTAAATTCTAGAAAAAAAGTAATAGAAAATAATTTAATCATGTTAAGAATCTGATATAAACTAATGAAAGGAGAGAGAATCTTGAATTGTTAAACTTCTATTCTCTAAATAGGTCTGGCTGTTATATGTTTTCCCTTCTTTGTGTGTGAGATCTGATTGCATTGCAGATATGTCAAGAACAGTACCCTTAACTGGGCACGTTTTTCTGATCTTAGCATAATATCATTTGCTAAATATGTTATAATACCATCTTTCTTGTGGGCTTTGATTCTCCCATTTAAGTCTTGTCTAAATGAACCAATGTGTTTATTCATACCTGTGCCCGCACATGCACATTACAAAACAGTTATAGGAAATGCCTGCCTCTCTCTTTAAATTTCTGGATTGTTGCTGGTTTATGTCAGACTCATGGCCCACCACTGCTCTGAGTTGTTCCAGGTGTAAACCCAGAAGTAAACTCAGTTGAACTCAGTGGTGTTACTCAGATGTGTAAACAGTACAAATTAAATGAAAACTAAGCTGCGGTAAGAGATGGGGGTCTTGTTTTTATCTTGCGTATTTCTGGTAGATGAAAGTGCTGAAGACTCTCAATCAAAAACCAGTTCAGGCGGGGGAATTGACACCTTTTCAGAAAACTCTAGTAGCTTCATGAATTAAGGAAACAACTGGCCATGAGCTCTTCCTCTCTTTAAAAACAGTACAAAAATGTTAGTATCAAAGGTTGAGAAAAAAAGAGCAGAGTCTATATGATTTTCTCACCTATGGGGAGAAAACATATACAGTTCAGAAAAAGCCAGTAGACAAAAAAGAGATTGATTAACCAATGTGCAACCAGGTGCAACTCCATTGCTGTCACCGGAGTTGTACCTGTTTGCATCAAAAATGACATTATGGAAACTCTCTGTTGAACCAATATCACAGAAGCATTGCCTGGCCCCAAATCAGTTCCCCTTCACAGATACCATTCCTATTGATTAAATACAGCACCTGCCAGGTCATCAGCATGCAGGTATGATTCTTGTGATTAAACCCTTTGTTTCAATTAGCTGCATATTGTTTTCCTCAGAAACCTGGCTCTATTTCAGTTTTTAGCAAAATGAGAGAGACACCATCAGCTTCTGTAAAGATATTTTATATTTCCAAATGCAAACTTTCACCCACTCTGCTGTATTGGCCATTACAGATTAGTTGTGTAAGAAAGACTCTGCACTGTAAATTATATTGAATTTATTTTACCCTGTATCACAACCCATTATTATCTCCGAGGTACTATCACTAATATACAAAGTAACAATAATCTGATCCTTGGTTAGTTTTAAGAAGGAGGTGAGTAAAATTACTTGTATTCATTGAGATACTGAATTAGAAACAGTGAAATGTAATCAAAACATCTAATCTGATACATACATCTTTCTCTGAACTTCTCCTAGGGTCTGATCCTATTATAATAGTCAGTTAGGAATCAAAGCTCCTTGGTAATACAGGCCAAAATTTTCAAGAACAGCCTTACAGTCTTAATATCTAACACGGAATGGAAATTTAAACCACATATTTTGGAACTTTGAGCACCCATGGCTCCCTCTGACTTCATTTGGAGATGGATGCCTGCACTGAATGTTAAAAAGAAAAAAAGGTCAGGCCGAACTCAGCCAAATTCAAAGTCTGCTTCTGAAAATATTTAAAATACTGACCCCGCAGTTTTCTTCATGTTACAGATATACTCACAGATGTGCACAAAGGGAAAAATTACTGAAAAGCAGGTGAATATTGCATATAGTGTCTTTCAATCTTCTCTCATCCTAGATAAAATAGCACAAATTAAATTCCATGCCAACTCTCCTTTGTTAAGTTCAGAAAGTTTAGCTCACTGTTATAAAAGCCATTTTGTGTGATTTCCAATACATTAATCCTCTGAAAATATTCATTACAGTGTTTGAGTGAGAGATGTATATAAACTCCCAGATACACAAATGCAAAAATAAATAAGTCTAATGTCCATATACATCCGCATTGGCATTCTATTTATGTTAACTACATGAGCTTAGCTCAAGTGTTTTTTCAGCAGAATCTAAAAATGCATATGCCCTTGTATGATATCATTTATTATAAAGGAGGAAGCATAATCCAGTGGGTAGAGCAAAGAACTGTGATTTAAGATTCAAAAATTCTATTTTCACTTCTCCCATCAGACTGTCTTAAATGTTGAACATAGTTTTCCTTTGCCTCAGTTTCCACAGCTCTCAAATAAAATGAATAGCATTTATCTGTCTGATATTTGTATTGTGATATTAATCATGATTGTGATGTGTTTTTAGATCTGTGGTTGAAAGGTGTTCTTCAGTGACAAAATGTGCTGTGTTTAGCTGATTTTTAAAAGAAAATGTATGAATATAGCATATTGTCCTAACTGAATTTTTTTCCACTATCCAGAGGTATCCATTCTCAATACAAATAGGACTGTACGATCTCACATAAGCAATGTTATGGCTTTTTCTTTTAGCTGCTCGGCTTCACTTTGATAATTTTCAATCTGCCACAAAAAGGGGCATTGGTAAGAAATTGATTAGGCCAAAGGGATTTTTATTCTGTACAGCCCAAATAGCCAAACTCTAAATATGTTCACCCTGCAACTGTTCTGTTTAGAAATTCTTCATCAGTGTGACCTGTCTTTTCTTCCCAACATTGAAAATAGATGTTCTGTCTGTATGTTGGGTATTTTCCCCTTTGGAGCAGCAGCAAGACTAGTTCAGCTGAAGAGAAAAGGTAGGTAAAAGGGAATTCTGGGGCCCAAACTGAACCCTAATTTCTCTTTTTTTCTTGGCAACTGTAGCCCACTCTTATTTCTAATGCCACATGCTGATTCTTTGCAAGAGTTATATGCCACTCCTAATGCCCGGGACAGTGTGTGTGAAGTGCAGTAATTCAGAGCAAGGTAACCCTTCCTTTCAGCTGCCTCTACAAGAGGCTATCTTGGTGCCCAAGTTTCCTCTGCTGCCCCCCCGCGCCCCCCAAAAGGTGGGGGAGGCAGGCTCTTTTCAGAACTGGTTCTGTGACTGCAGTGGGGTTTTGCCTGGGTAGCAAATGCGGCATCCACTCCAGCCTGGAGGCAACACGTCCAATCCAGCCTGGCAAGTCTAAAATACCAGTGCTTCACAGGGCTGGTAAGTTTGGATTTACTTAGGAGTCGCTTCCCCTCCAGCTCTCGGCGAGGCGACTCAGAAAGTGACCCCGCAGGAGATCCAGGAGTCCCGGGGCTGTGGCAGCGGGCTCCGAACGTTGAGACACTGGCCATTGTGACGTCTGCACCCGGCTCTTTTGTTCTTCCGTAACGAGCTGCGCGCCTCCTCCCTAAACCTGCATGGACCTTTCTGATCGCTTCCCCTGCTGCTTAAGAAAAGTGTGGTGGGGGGGACCCCACAACCCCAAGTGCTGGATTCACTACACACGCTTTACACAAGCTGGCCACAGAGAGGACACACATTTGGGGGAAGAGGGGAGATGACTGGGGATGGTCCCTTCCCGTCCTTGAAGTCTGTAGTGTTCTTCTACTGCCCAACTATCAACACACGTCTTGTGCTAAAAGGCTAGGGTCTCAATCCCTCTCCCTTCCACAGAGTGGTAAGATAACTGGGCGACGGAGGTGTATTTTTTAAGACATCACGAGCAAGACTGTGCAGTCAGTCGCTGATCTTTTCTTCTTCTTTGGTTCCCCTGCACTTGCTTTGTCTCTCATGGAGAGCTTGAAACTTTCTGAACTGCGCTCGGCATTAGTTACCTTTTTCTAGTGGCATCCTGTTCTTGAAAGCGATCTCGTTAGTTTAGAAATATACTTTTAGCTTTGCAATGGGGACCCCCCTGGTGATGGGTCCCGCTTCCCCGCCCCCTCTTTGCTACATATTAGTGCGATTTCTATCATTTCAGATGGCCAAGCAAATGCCAGGCTACAACTTATGCTCAAATGGGTCTCGTCGTACTAAGAATTGAATCGAGAGTCCGGGGCAGCCGCCACACAGCAAGGATGAAAGGAATGGAAACAATCTGAACTATTTTCAAAGTCATTTAGAGACCTCTGTTTGTATTTTTAATGCAATATAGGGAATGAGGGAAAACCACTTTGAACAGGTTTGAATGGGCGGGATAATAGCTTAATTAAATCACCGTTGGACCGTAGAAAATAAATGCCTCCTGTCCTTGTCTTTTAAAGAAGGAAAGGGGGATTGCTACCCTCCTTGGCGAGCACATATATCCAAATGTAAGGGTTACATTTAAACTCCTCTCTCGTCCACACACTAATAATAACCAGAAAGGATGATGGGGGGTATTATTTATTACTGTGGTTGATTTACTAAGGACAGCGAATATAATCCCACGTGGGATACAAGGGTGAGTGTGGGACAGACCCAAACTGGAGGTGAGCCACCTCGGCCACCTCGGGCTGGAGGTGAGCCCGAGATGGCCGAGGGGTGGCTGAAACATTCAAGGTGATGAGACCATCAAAGCGATCAGACCATTCAAGATGATGAGCCCATCAAAAGGAGGGCAACTTTTTAAAGCGGTTCCTAGCTTGGAAGCGAAAAAAACTCCGAACGCCTCGCTTGTTTGGCAAGATCCTTTCTTTCATCAGCGGTAATCTGAGTGATCAACCTTGGTCATCGTTAGAAAAAGCAGAGCAAAAGGGGGGGGGGGCGGTGTCAGGATCAGTTCAACGGTGACCACCCGGGCTGCACAAAGCAGACGCGTCCTAGGTTGAACTGCCAAGGGCTACAACACCAAGTGTCCTTAGTTAAGCAGCACTTGTTCCTCACCTCGTCACTACGTGGGCAAAGCCCGAGAAGCAGATCTCCTGGGAGTCATCAAATACATTCAAACACAAAGGAGAGAAGGGGTCACTCCCAAGTTCGGAGTCTTGCAAAATGCTGAGAGCTGGGATCCATCCCTAAGCAAGCAAAGCCCTTCGAAGCTAGTCGTCTAGTTGCTGCTTTAAGGGTTTGGGTTTTTTAATGGAAAAGCCCTTTTCGCAAATAGACTGTAATTTGGGCGGATGACAAGGCGGCAAAACATGATGGGGGGGGCGGTTTTTTGCCAGGGGCAAAAGGTTAACAGATAATTCTGCGGGTGGCAGAGAGGTAGGTGGATGCTGAAAACATCTTTCACCGGCGTGTCCTACTTTAGCGATCCTAATTAAAAGAGGGTTAAAGGACGCACAATCAAAAGAGCCACCGCTGCCTGCTGCCTCGGCAATGGGCGTGGGGGACGCCGACAGACACCAAGGGTGCAGACAGAAGTGCAGCTCCTAGCTGTAACTCGCAACGATTTACTCCCAGCTTGTCCCGCTGGGCGCCTCTGTCTAAATAAATAAATAAAATACAGTTCGCCCTTTGATGTGAACTGATCTCTCTTTTTTTGTTTGTTTTAACCGGGTTTCTTTCTTCTGATATGTGTGCTCGGATACGTACCGTGGGGCCCTGGCCCACCTGCAGCCTCGCAGGTTGCGCCCTGTATTGTGTGCATTTCTGAAAGGCGAGGAGGTGGGGGGGGGGGTCTTGCACGTAGCCTGGGAGTGTGAACTGAATGAGTCCGAAGTAGGGGGGTCAGGGAACACACGGAGCATCCTCCCCTTTTTTTACATCTCCCCCCGACCAAGAGGAGCTGTGACATTGTAAGGTACAAGCTGGCTCTGTCTAACACTTCGAAGCAGTAAGGCATCCAGATTTGTTTTGGGTTATTTTTTGCTTTCTGATGCTGCCTTTCCAGGGCCGCTGGTTAAAAAGGAAGCTTTACTGCCACCTATAAATGGCACTAGATCCAAGCCCCCCCCCATTTCTCTGGAAGCAGCTAGGCT